CTGCCGTTTATATTTAGTCATAGAAGATAACACAGGCCTTCAGAAAGGTTTGCCTTCAGAAAGGTTTGCCTTCAGAAAGGTTAATGTACAATTCAAGTAGGTTAATTATCAAAGTATACAAGAATACCTTTTATACAAATTACACATCATTTGTGGTATGCTAGGTAAACAGTACATGTGTATTGTATATACAATATACCATCAACATTACCAGAAAGTGGTCAGGTCATTTTACCTAAAAATCAGCTGACATGCCTACATATGTCAAATGTGTTATCTTATCAACACTTTTTTTAAAACTAAATAATAGCCTTCTTTCCAGTTGGGCAAGATAGCTGACTAGTTACAGTGGTGCCTGCTATCCTCTGTTCTCACTGCCCTGAGAGCAAGTCTTGTGCAGAAATCTTGTTGAAGCAGGCTTAAGTGCTTGATGACTTTGACTGTTCTTTTCTTATAAATCTGCTTTCTTATTTGGCACACAGCTTCATTTTCAATGCTTTCCTCAAAGGCGAAGTCCTCCCGGTACTCCTCCATGGCCCTGGAGAAAAATAGAATGTACATGTCTATTTACAGTTGCTAAGAATTAGCAACAAAATTCACAACAAGTGTGAAGAATTAGCAAACTAGTATACTAGTATTCTAATTTTTACATAATTTAAGGCATTTGATAATCAAGAAAACTTGAGTATACTAGTATTCTAATTTTTATATAATGAATCATTATACAAAATAAGTGATTTACCACTAGAATGACAGTTTGCTACCAGGCTACATGTATAACTTATAGATTATTTGCCAAACCTGTTTATGTAACAGTAATTACAGCTACCAGCACTGTACCTGTATGTCTGCCCTCCCCCTTCGCCCTTCACATGACAGGCAGAATGTTATTCAAAGTGCATATTGTGAAAATTTCATATTCGAAATATTCGGGCCCAATTGAATCTAATCTGAATGTGATCAGAGCTGTTTTCAATGCTGTTGGAATGCAGTACAGGTAAGAATCTCAATGCCACCTGTTTGAGAACTGTTTGTGTTTCTGGATATTTTTACATTTATGCTCATTCTTACATGTATGCCCAGCCTGACTGAGTGGAGACTGGATACAAGGCTATATTGAACAGTGAATTTTAACTGTAGCTGCAGTATTAATCCATTTGAAATATCAGTGCCTTACCTGGTACCGAGATAGAAGGGCAGTACAAATATTTCCTGTTCGGTGCACAATTCACCTGCATCAAACCTGCACTCACTGGTAATACTAGTAGTTTTATATAAAAGTGTAGGCATATGTGGGTTTTTACTTGCTGCATTGACTTTCACATTGTATTACTATTAAGTTCAAAAGAAATCCTGGCAATGATTTCCAGTTTTCTGTGTAATCTATATAATTCCTATGTTCTGGGTGACAGTGAGTGGTACAGGTAAAATGTGTCTGGTGCAGGTAATTTTCAAAGTTAATGTAACTTACTGGGGCAAAGAAAACTACTAGAAGCCCAGCGCAAGTTCCTTGTACATCAGCATGTGAAGCGGTTCCATTGGGACTCCTTCTGGTTCCCCAGTATTGCATGCTGCGACTCTCAATCCTACCCGCTGCCATTTCCTCTGCTTCGGCGTACTACAATACAATACAAAAATTGACAGAAACGAATATACATATGTCATATGTCAAATATACATATGCGCATGGTAAATACATGTAGGTACGTATCAATTTACACATCATGACATCTCAGTAACTCCAAAACTACCTTTATCAGGGTCAGTTACTGATACATCAGCCTGGTAAGTGCCATACATATAATAGGTTGTAGATCTTTTTAAAACATTCACACTGCTTTTTCTTGCTTTGATTGATGAACTCTTGAATACACAGTGAATTGTGTTTCAATGTATTAGTATATTACAGTAAAAAAAAAAAACTTGCTTTCCCTTTTTGTAGGCTAATAGTATAACTTTGGATAACACCTCAACACAGGACCAATTTGATGAGGATAGTTATGGAAGTAAAATATGCCTGATGGGGGATGATAATGAGTGGTGAGAAATGACTTTATCCTTTCTCTTTAATTAATAACTAGGGAGTGACAACTCTGTTTAGCATAAACAGGATGAGGGTCAAAGAAACATGAAATAAAATGCAACTCATGAATCTGTTTTATGACAAAATACATGTACAAATATATGATCCATAATGCCAAGAAGGTTGAAAATTTGAATTAAAAAAACAATTTAATAGTTCTATTTTCTATTTAGATACATGTGTATAGGGAAATAGTAACCCGTAATCAAACTAATGCTGTCTTAGTGACATGTATGGTCAATGATGTAATGTCCTT